TATAACTTTTCTAAGGTAGCAAATTTATTCTACTAATATTCAAGATCACACACAGAAACATGTGACACTGAAAATCGCTTTGAACATTACATAGTACAAAGAAATATTGACTTTTGTTTCCTTACCTATTTGTACATCTTGATCACACCTAAGTTGTAAAGCTTTTACAAATTTAGTTTATTTAAAAACATTACTCAAAATAAACTATTGATAAAAAATACCAACTTAAGTTTCTTTATCTGCATTTTGAATTCACTTATGTTGTAAAGCTTTTATAACATATAACTGAACTTGAAAACATTTGTATATATATATATACACATATACATATATATATATATATATATATATATACACATATACATATACATATACATATACATATACATACATACATATTAGCATAAATTGCATGTCTTTTGATGAGAATTTTAAGTTACTTGTTCACTTAGATCTAGGTTTTATTTCACTTTCAGAATATTCTCCTGTAAATTTAATTAGTATTAGTAGTAAGTTATTACCATCTTCACTCTCTGAACTTACAACAGCAGATGAATGTTCAATACATGTAATTTTGAAAGAATCAGCCATACTTCAACAACCATTTTGTTTGTTAATATGAAACCTTATGACAGCAGAACATTGCTATTTAATGTTTATAGTCTGGAAGCACAAATAAATCTTCAGCATTGTTGCATTTTGCAAATATATTTTTTAATGATTTGTGTTGTGTGCTTGAACTTTGTCCACAATTGAGGGTAGAGCAGTTATGGTCTGCATGATTTTTTACATGTTTACAAGTTATAAATAAGTTGTTTACTAATATCTGAGTTTGAGTCCTAGCCATAATTATGACTTAGAAGGTTCTGGAAATGAACTTGTTTACAATTTGGTGTACTTTTCCATTTAGATGATAGAGTTTTTTCAGAAAATCCTGCTTTGACATATTACAGGTGGGGATGCATATAAAAGAAGGTTTTGTCAACATAGGTTTCATATTGGTTTTTCTTACCATTTATTGGAATCTTTAGTCAGAGTTTTCAGCTTTGTCCTGATATAATTTGAGACAAGCAATTTATTAAAAAATTATTCATTATTCATTGGAACTGACATCACTGACATCTCACTATTTTGGGATTATTGTGAATTCATTTAAAGGATTCTGGACTATATAATTGTGATACATCAATCATGTTGGTACATCAACCTATTCAAGACTATTGGTACATAAGAACATTCATTAATGAAATTCATTTAGAACACTCAATACTTCTTGGGCTTGTGATAGAATGTTTAGGATTATTTTAATTTTTATTTATTTAATTTTAATTTTATTTTTTTAATTCATAATTATTTTAAGTTACTCTTAAATTCTCACTTTGTAACATTAATTTATCTGCTGATATTTCTAAACTTGTTGGTTTCACTTCGTTCTGTTACTTAGTTTAAGACCATAGAGACATAACACTAACTTTATGTTTCCTGCAATATCTTTAGTCATCCACAGTTGGTGATTCAATAGTAACATGCATGTTTGTTATAGCTGGATACTACATGATACAAAAACTGCTCTATTGTTTGATCATTTTATTTCATAATCTCAAAATTGTACATAATAATGTTTGTGAAAATTTTAAACCTCATGTATGGAATAAGCCATATCAGGCTATTATATTTCAGCTTTAGTATCACTCCTAGAAATGAACAAAACCATACAGTATGTTATTATCCAGCCAGTTGGACATACACTAATCAGCACAAGCTAAGTTTGCACATACATGTGTGTCTGTCGCATGCAAAGTTTAGTCACACTCATGTGCTTGTCATATGCAGAATTTGGACATACATAACATGTGTGTCTGTCACATGCAAAGTTTAGTCACACTCATGTTTTTGTCATATGCAAAATTGGGACATACATAACATGTGTGTCTGTCACATGCAAAGTTTAGTCACACTCATGTCTTTGTCATATGCAGAATTTGGACATACATAACATGTGTGTCTGTCACATGCAAAGTTTGGACAAATTACTTGTGTGTCTGTCAAATGCAAAGTTTGGACATACAATACTCGTGTGACTGTCATATCCAAACTTTGGACATATGGGTTTATTTCCCAATTTGCAAGAGATAACTTTACACTATATAATTCACCTATCTGGCAAAAGCAAAATCTGGACATGTTTAACATGATTGTCTTGCAGATGCAAAGACTAGACATATATTGCTTACTTTTCTGGCACATGGAAAATAGTAGGGTATGTTTTCTTTGGCTCTCCATTGTAGATGATCCTCTTTCGCACAATGTCCAATCCCAGTGAAGACTCAGTCATTCCAATAAGTGAAGTTTTGGGCTTCCGATGCAGTGGAGTGTGCAAGGACCCTACACCTATTGTGGCGTATGTGCCCCTGGATGTGTCAGGCCAGACAATTTCAAATACATGCTTCCCATGCTCAAGCCCTACATAAATATTCATAAATATTCATATTTTTTAAAGGTAAGATTATTCAAAACATTAATCAGACATTTAGAAGGTTATTCACAAATATTCACTCACAATTGTTAAAACTCAGATCTTGGAAAGTAGATTAAGAATCTTAATGGCTCACAACAGATTATCTCGTTTAAGAGTCCAGGCCTCCTGACTCTAAGATCATGGCAGCAGTCCCCAACAATTTACCAAGAATCTGAACATCAAGCTTGAAAGCCCTCACTCCATGTCAAAACTGACAGTCCCACTCAACATCATGCTTGAAGGCCCTCACTTGATGTCAAAACTGACAGTCCCACTCAACATCATGCTTGAAGGCTCTCACTTGATGTCAAAACTGACAGTCCCACTCAACATCATGCTTGAAGGCCCTCACTTGATGTCAAAAACTGACAGTCCCACTCAACATCATGCTTGAAAACCCTCACTTGAAGTCAAAACTGACAGTCCCACTCAACATCATGCTTGAAGGCCCTCACTTGATGTCAAAACTGAAAGTCCCACTCAACATCTTACTTGAAGGCCCTCACTTGATGTCAAAACTGACAGTCCTACTCAACATCAAGCTTGAGGGCCCTCACTTAATGTCAAATCTGACAGTCCCAATCAACATCAACATTGAAGAATCCCATCTTTGCTCATGCCTTCTTGTTAACCCTTCATGTATTCTTTATTATTATCTTATTTTGTGCTTTGTTATTTACTTATTGTTATGATAAATATGTAGAGAGAAATATGCAGAGCAATATGCATCCTAGATGGAGGGTCAATCTCTCACATTAAAACAGTATGAACTTGATTGTTTAGGAGTTGTAAAGATAATTTTGAGTAATTAAATGTTATATGCATGTCCAATATATTGGTTACTTTCAAGGATGATATAAATCACATTTTGTACCTTTAGTTAAAATATAAATTCAAGTTATTTCCCATGCACAACAAAATCTTTATTCACAAATATGTTTTTATATGCCAAAGACAAGACAAACAGTCAAATTTTGATGGTAAACTTTCAAAGGAGGGTTTTGTTGGTCACCTAAAGTCAGAAAGGGAAATTAACTGCACTTTGCATACTTTTCTTTCAAAATCTGAGGAAACCCACATCAAACTTTTTATGTACATGTATTATAAGATAGTGATGTTTTACTATAATGAAATCATAATTTAACAAAAGTACAGCTTTAAGTGATGATATTAAAGCTCAGATTCACTTTTTGAATTGTTGATGTTGGAATTTTAGGATTGTATTTCTTGTGATTGAGTTTTGAATGCCTTTTAGGCTAAAAACTCTTAAAGCCAGTTTGGATGCTTAAGGTGAGAAGCACCTTTATATAATGTTAGAACTCAGAAGTGCCTTTCAATGATGTTAGAGTTTAGAAGTAAATTTTATGATGTTAGACAGAAGTGATGTTTCATGATTTCTTTCTGATGTCTGAACTCAGAAGTGTGTGTCTGACAAATAAATAAACTTTATAGTAAATTATATTACATTAACATTAGGAATTGCTTTAGCTTCTTTAGCCTCTCTCTCTCTCTCTCTCTCTCTCTCTCTCTCTCTCTCTCTCTCTCTCTCTATTGATATATAAAACTACATTCTAGTCTAAAGCGCTCTCCGTTACGGATCACTGCCATCTCACCTCTATCTGCATGGTTTCGAGTCTAAGATTTGGCGAATGTGGATATGTGAGAAAGCTTGCCAGTAGCTTCACGTGGGTCGGTGGTTCTCTCCGGTGAATTCCCGGTTTCTTCCTCCACATTTTGTTACTCTATATAACATGTTAAATCTATGCACCAACCACACTAGAAGGACATGTAATCTATAAGAATTCACTGAAGGCGAAAAATCTTGCAAAGATAGACCACTGATTACTTGGAAGAGTATTCAGTGAAATAACATTTATTTATTTTATCTGGAAAACCTACCAATTGACCAACGTGCACCATCAGCCTCCTGGTTTCCTTGTCGGAAGCGCATGACACTGGTAGGACCTGTGATAATGATGCCATCAGAACATGCGCTAAAACCATGTACTTCCATGTTGCGATCAGACTGAATTGTTTGTACCCATAGGGGTGTTGGTACTGGTACTGTGAAAAAGAAAGAGTTTATATATCATGAATAAACAAGATAACTGAAACTGTCTTTTTAAATATAAACTACCAACATTCAAGGTGTGAAAGTTAATTCTATACTTATAGAAATACACAAGTATGCCAACATCTTTGGTTTTCACTTGACAGTGTGTCAAATAAAATTGCACTATCAGGTACATACCATAGACCAAGGGCAAATGTTGTCCTGTCCCTAAACCCACCCCCACCCACCTCATAAAGTAATCATTCACTGGCTTTGAACTTCTAACCCACTGAAATTAAAAGTCTTTTCAAATTAAATTGACATGATTATTATTGGAAAATGTCAATTATTTAATTAGTGATCGTGTCCCAAAAAATTATATATATATATAGTGTGTGTGTGTGTGTGTGTTAGTGTAAATATATTTTAGCTGCAATAGCTCTAGTGGTAGAGTGTTGAACTCATAATCCAAGGGTCACAGGTTCGATATCTGCTGTACAGGCCAGCCTTAACATGTCCTCAGAAAAAGTACAGCTCCCCATTTCTTGAGTATGATATATCCAATAATCTGTTAAACGTGCATGTTTGTATGCTTATTTGTATGTATTATCTATCGGTTTGTATGTGTAGGTAGGAGTCTCTCTCTCTCTCTCTCTCACACACACACACACACACACGCACACACACACACACAAACACACATCCCATCAAAGTGTACTACCTGCTGGAGTGTTCCTCGGAAATATTCCATTCTTCCTGTCTCGTCGTTCTTTACACCAACAGATTAGGAAGCCACATAAACTAAAGGTACCGGCACACACAACAAATACAATAATCAAAATCACGTACCAGAGCCCAGAAACTACTGATACTGCAACGGCGACGTCACTGTTGCTGTCACCATTATCGCTGTCAAAATGACAAAATTAAATGTATCTATTGTGTGGAATCAGTGACATTTAGATAGACCAAAGGACAGATTAGCAAGAAAGAACAGATGCATACATAAATTGAGATAGACAGACAAAAAACAGAAGTGTACGCTAACGTATGTCGTTACATTTGTGCCACATTTATTATTCCAGATCATGTAAAATTGGAGGTTTTATAAGTACACTGTTATTGAAACACTGACACATTCTCATATTTACCATACGGGTATTTTATTAACTTATAGGGTACATGGAAACATCCTTTTCCTTACGCTCTCTCTCTCTCTCTCTCTCTCTCTCTCTCTCTCTCTCTCTCTCTCTCTCTCTCTCTCTCTCTCTCTCTCTCTCTCTCTCTCTCTCTCAAACACACACACACACACACACACATACATATACATATCTTGTTCATGAATCTTCCATGGAAATACAACCGTAATAGCACTCAATTGGAGAATGGTCTGCTTACCAAAGAACTCCTGAAATAATAATAATAATAATAATAATAATAATAATAATAATAATAATAATAATAATAATAATAATAATAATAATAATAAATTAAAAAGAATCGCCATCATCTATGTTTATCATCCATATTGTTATCATCATCATCCAAATACTAATCCTCATCATAATCATCATCATTACAACCACCAAAACATCGCTGTCATTGTCGTCATCAATGCTTTTGAGTGACAGCAGATGTTGCACTAGAGTCGGGTTAAGTCACTAAAATCTACAATTTTCAATATTTTTTTTCACAAATTAAACCGACGTTCAAATTGCAGAATTTTTTCAACAGAGATGAAAAAAAAAGAAAAAGAAAAAGGAACCCAATTTCAGTCTACCCAGATGAACTAGACCCCTAAAGTTCACGCTCGGGAGAAAGCCATAATGCAAATACAGTGCAAAACTAATATAAACTAGCCTTTTTCAAACGGAGCTTAGAGAGGGGAGAGATTTCTAATCCAACTACAAAAAGAAAACATACAAGAAAATGACGATAATGTCGAAGACAGCATAAAAGTTCAAACAAGTTTGAATCATCTGTTCAGATTATTAACTTACACTAATAAGACAAGGACTAATTTTATCAATGAAGTTAATTCGTCTTAAATTTAGTTCATAATTTATGTAATTTTTGACCATGTTATTGGTTTCGTTATTGCATCTCTTTTTTATGATATAAAAATATTTTGTTTAAGATTGACTCTTTACTTGAGGGGGGAAGTGCCACCCCCACCCGTCGCTTGCCGTTACTGATCAATGCCATCACACGTCTGTCCTCCACCAGGTATGCTAGCCGCCAGGTACTGCCTATCATGTGGTGAAAAATGGCGTCAAGCCCACAACAACGTGTGTGTGTGTGTGTGTGTGTGTGTGTGTGTGTGTGTGTGTTTATTATCATCTGATGAAGACTTTGCTTAGTTCGAAATTTTTGTGTAATACATACATACATTTTGTTTGCGTTTTTTTTTTCTTCATTTAAATTATAATTATCATCACTTTCCAGACTTGTACAAATATAGTGCATTTTTGTCAAGTTAAAATATTCATCGTTGTGGTTCGTTCACTATATTTGAATAGAAGTTGTACTGCAAATCTCGTCATGCATATATGTTTAAGTTGAAAGAGAGAGAGAGAGAGAGACATAGTACAGCACAATGCATTTATTGATTATTTCTTTAAACATGTTAAGAAAGATCAGCGGCATAACATTTTACAGAATAAAGGAAAGGCTCGCTTTTGCTTGTAATAGTTTATTTTCAATATACAAGTCTATTTATTTATGGGGCTACATTTGAAAGTTTGCCAAAACATAACACGATTGTGATACCCTAGCTTGAGTGTATGAGTTACAGTTTAAATACGCATTATGGGTGATTCACCTTAATAATTGATGTCTTATACTGAGTAGGTCTATACGTAGATAAAGAGATCTCAAAAGTGCAAATTCGTCACATGTTGTTCGTTTGGATCAGATCAAATGACCCTGTATTCATGTCAGTTGACAAAATCAGGAATTTGCGATCATTATAATAATGTTCTAGATTAGGACAATGTGATTTTTAAAGGAGTGTTGTAGACAAAAAAAAAAAAACGACGTGCTGATAGATCATAAACTCCTTTACCGCTAATCTACATATTTCAACATAGAGATCAATTTCGTACAATTATTTTGCAATGATGATATAGTTAGTATATCCTCGGTAAGAATAAATGTGATGAATATTTCTTTTACATCTACTAACACCTCGTTCTACAGTACCAGTCTTTAAATGGTGAGAAATGTCCTTAGGGCAGGAGTGTCCAAACCGAGACGCTCATGCGGCCCAGTCCTACACTTTGTGGTCCAGCGACCATGCAGGCCTTTCTTTTAAAAACATGCATTTTATTTACCGGCAAAATGCGCAGTTATTAGTGATAAGGAACTATTTTTGTTCATGCTGCCCGAGACAGAAAACATTTGATCTGTTTTTGGCCCTCATGGGGAAAAAAAAGAAAAGACATTCCTGCCTTAGGGCAATCAAGATACCGTACGTTAGGTCTCCCTTAATGGTAATAACAACAAATAATATAAATTACTAAGAGGACACGATGGAAATATTGCTTGAAACCAGAAATTTTTTTACCGTGTTATGAATTCAATCAAAATTAAAGACTTTTTCTTCATTCCCGCCTAAAATCTGATTCAGGTTTCAATGTCCATGCTAAGAATGAACCAACATGAAAGTCTGTATTTATACTGCGTCTCGCCTGCTTCACGGTACAGTGCATAATCCGTGTTACTTGTAGTGGGTGCTAGCATTCGTGATTACGTTGAATGTACAAATTGGAGTTCAGTACCAAGTATACAACAGTGTCTTAAGACAAATTAAACTGAACTTAAGGAAAATGCAAAGAATTATATTGTTCAATGAAGCATGAAAAGTGCATATACCATATCTCACTTATATCGATACGTAACTTCTACCCAATTTTCATTTGTCAAAGACTGTCGATTGACTTCGTTCCACATTTTACGTCGATGTGGAACGAAATGGATCGACGGACCTTGTTTCTCCCCGTGGTTATTTTAAATGCAAATAAATTAATGACAGTACAACAAAAGCGAGTTCGGTTGACTTTGAAAAGGAGGTCACTGTTATTTACTATTAACGATAGTACAATTTAGTAGAACTTCGATAGGATTGGTTCACTTGGAATTCAAACATGCGATTCAAATCAGTCCATTGTAGCTACTATACAAAACTGAACAAGTAATGACACAGAATTGCAATGGCAATATATATATATATATATATATATATATATATATATATATATATATATATATATATATATATATATATATATATATATATATATATATATATATATATATATATATATATATATATATATACAAGGTGTCGCCCAGAACTCTCAATAGCTAGACCACCATCTTCTTCGTTATATTACGTCAGGTGAGGATTTAGCCAGAACTTTCAGCTCGTTACAGTCACCTTCTGAATTACGTAGTGTTACTGTTACTACAATCTGTCGCTGGCCCATTATGAATCGTACCCCTTCCACTGTCTTAGAAGTTAATTTAAGCCAGTACAATTACAATCTAGCCGGTGATTATTTAGTCCTTACAAACCGTACAAATTCAAGGCCAAAACTTATCCAGTCTGCGTAAGCTTTCTTAATTTTGAAGAAAAAAAAAGTTCGTTGTGAGAACAAAGTTAAAGAAATGCCATGCTTAGTAGACGGTATAGTCTAATACACATCGTATGATGCATTGATGAATTCGTTTTTGTTTTTTTTTAAAAAAAAAAATTAACACTGCGTTTACCTTGTTGTATTATGTTAATTTTTTTTTTTTTTAGAACAGATCGGTGGTCCGGAAACCCTTGAAGCACCTCACCCAGATCCACGCCCCGATACGTTCATTGTTTAAGACCCATAAATCCATACATTGGTTTTCTTACTCTTTCTTGCTTAATTATTGATCATATCTTTAAGTTTACAATCGAAATATTATTAAGAAAGACTGAAAACAAAAAACAAAACGCGAGGCAGTTGTTAGTTTGATGCAAGTGTATAAATTATTAATTTCTCAGTGTGCTACGCTGCATCTTCTTTGTATTACAAATGATATATGTATGGCGTTTTTGATGGCCTTTGTACCGTCTCAAGATGCAATTGCATGTCCGTGTTTCCCAAATGAACTCCCGCTATTGATGTTCATACTTCAAACCCAAAAAACTTCCTAGGAACAAAAGAAATGATCTTAAGGAAATATCTCGGTGTCTGAACACGACCTTGTTCATCGAATGTGGACAAGTCAAACTGTACTTGTTTCTCCACGATTTTATTATCAGCTGTTAAAAATATATCAAATGAATCTAAAGTTTTGCTCGCTTGAACGTATCCCCCCATCATCTGATGCTGAATATTTTTAAGGGCGTTACACTGGAGTCATTTGCATCCACATATAGGACATCGATGAATTCTCTTTTTTACCTGTTAAATAACGGTGTTATGTGTTGTATAACATATCTGTGTCCACTTAAAGTCTCTTTGCCAT